TACGGTAATATTATGTTGATATTTTTTTTTATTTTGTCGATTTTTTATATATTATGAAAATATCGATTCACTCCTTTGATTTTTTTTAATACTAACATATTAGATGGAAATTACAACTCACAGCGTATTTAAAAATATACCACTTTGCTTTGGCCCTCTTATTATTTGATATCGACAACCTATTGACAAAAAATTAATACTCTGGCTGTACCTCCATATGCAGAAGCAGCCTTACTTGAGCATAAATCCAGTTTTGAAGAATGAAAGTTGCATCCGATTCTGGGTTTCAGTTTTCATTCATCCCAAACTTTCCCGCTCGAATCTGTTCACTGAAATCCAAGGTTTGATGTTCTTCCTCCTATGTTTTGTTTCGATGAACGTCAAATTTGTCGCATCATTTGAAATTTTTTTCACTTCAATGAGCTGCCCTGTTTGGCGTTTCTGAGAATCTGGAGGGAAAATCGAGAATGTTTACTCTAAATAGCATGATTTTGTCTTTCCTCTGTTTTCTGTTTTCAAAATTCTAGGCACTTGAGGAATCTAGTCGGTTTAGTGGTTTTCATTGAAACTTAGTTCTCTATGATCCTCGTGGGAAATATGGAAGTCCCATAAATCTTCGTACGTTCGATTTTGTTCTTCGGGGCAATGTACTTCCAATTTGAATCTTCCGAATCCGATTGTGGTTGTCGCTCAGATCCCACGAATGCATGTTAAACCAAGTATATGCATGTTATGACGATAAATTTAGTAAGAATTTAGCCACCATTGTTGGGAACTTCGCAACAAGCTATAAATTGTGTAGGTTGCCATTATTACATTAGGCCCTTCACATCAAAGATCTATACATTTTGTCCAAAGATCATCATCTACTGTTTTTGGCTCCGATGGTGCATGTTACGCAAATATATGTCGTGGAGGTGCCACTTCACTATGAAAATTTCGATTAGTTTTCTTGAAATGTTTAGTGTCAGCTTGCCTCCTACCTGAAGTTGTCAAGACATGACGGACAACGTGCTTATTAAACTTTTTTTCTATAACAGCGATCAGATAATCCCAAAAGCATCAATCGTGATCCAATGGTTAAATAAAGATGTTTTCGTTTGCCGAAGTTTGCTCCATTCCTCCTTCATTTCTAATGAAATAGTGCTTTGAGTTCTTATTAGTTGGATTTGTCGGTTTTTAGGGTGTTGCAAGAAAACCAAACTTCCAATATTCCTCAAGAATTTTGAGTCAAGATTTTAAGGTGGCGAAGTTGGCAAAATTTGGCAATTCGATCCATTGGGAAATCTGGTCAAGAAATCTCAAAGATGTTATCCATCGAGATAATGGTAGAATATAAAATTTGGGTGGAATCTGAAACCTTCAATATATTAGTCAATTCTGTCGAGATGTTCAACCCTCTAAACAAGAGAGTCCTAATTTCTCTAAGGGTGCCCTTTATGTAAGTGTCTCGTGGTCCTCATTGAAGTTTCCAAGTTGATATTTCACCCAAGCTCGAGGTTATCTTGTCAGTAAAGAAGAGTTCTTTCGACCCTAATGGAATTAAAAATGCCAAAGACCGATCCAAAGTATAAAATGTTGGAGATGAAGTTAGTATGCTTGATTTTTGATTTTTTTCCTTTTCTTTCACTCCCTCTGGGATTAACCCCTTGAATATTTGTATTATCTTTTCGTTTGTATCTTGTTAAAAAAGAAAAAAATGATGATCAGATTCTTTAGTAGGTAGCTTTCTTTATGATTATTTACAATATGCGGTTAGAAAGAAATGAGAGAATGTTCATGTACAAGGACATTGAGGAGTCTTAGAAGGAGCCTTGGTGTGTGATACACTCCAATGCTCCCATTTGGGTGTTATTTATGAATTTTTTTGTAATTATTATTTATTTTCTATTCCATTTTTTATAATGTTGCTTTACTGTTTTTTGGGCTCCTACACGTCTTTTATTTTTTGGTAGAAAATTGGTTTCTTAGGAAAAAAGGGGTCAAAATAGTTCCAGTTTGCTGATGACAATGACGCATTTGAAAATTTCAGCCAGTTGAATGTGTTAGTTTAGTGGATTGTTTATTCCCATCTAGTTTCTATTGCATTCTTCATCTGGAATCCAATAGAAAGAAATAAAAGAAAATCATGGTTTTGAGAAGTATGAAATTATGGATGTACAATGAAGCCAATCTCTAACTTCAAGTTTGCTAGCCCTAATATTAGGATACATATTTCAGATACAATTTACTAAGAAAAATTCCACATCAAAAATCGTGATATGGCTACTTGGCAAAGCATAGTATCTAAAAATTTACGTTGTTACTTGAGCATTTTTGTCGAAGTGTTGACTCTTTGCAAGTGTTGAGGTCTTTCAAGTCCAGACAGCTATGTATTGTAAATGAAGAACCTTCTTAAAAAGAGGTCAAGAGGATGGAAAAAGCATGGTAAGAACATGAGAGATAAAAGAAAATATAAAATTTGTAGATAACCAAAAAGGCTTATCAATATACATTTGTGCAATATTCAAGGTTATAGCAACTATATTGTCAGCAATAGGCGTATAGTGTCATCTATCATCACTCTTTAGCTACTTGTTATTGTTTCCTGACCACTCACTGTTAATCAGATTGAATATTTAGATGTTTAATTGCAATTTTTGCTCATTATTTTGTCTTCAGGTTTCTATAGCAAGGGATGTTGAAAAGTAGTTTGAGCTTGGAGAGGTTTAAAGTACAACACATTACATCCAACGCTAAATGGACATGCACCCTTTAAGTCAGCAACCTTCTGAAAGTAAAGAAAAATCTCTTCACTGCTTGGTGGAAGTCATGCACCTCGTGGTACTCGATTTCCTTTATTTATCATGTTGCAGTATATATAATAATACAAGATGAATCAATAATTTTAAATTAACCTGATATATGCAGCACCATTGGAGGGATGTAAAATTATTGTTTTGAGTTGAATAATAGCACTGCGGCAAGAATAGTTTCATATGCTACTAACTTATTATGTAAGAATTCTAATGAATAGAAACACCAGTTGCTTATGACTAAACAAATTTAATGTGGTCAAAATATTTGGTCCTCTTTCATCTTAAAGAAAACAAGAAATTAGTAAGAAAGTACGTCCGAAATTAAGGAAGTAAGGACTCTTTTCTTCTTAACACAAGTCTTCCATGTTCTCAAGCCTGCCAAAATATACGCTGAGTATGAATGGAAAATTGCAGTAGATGACTTGTCACTACCAGTTGTTTAAAGAACAGTTCTAATGGAGAGGCTCTAGCAATAGGAAAGCTGCTTTCATACCTTGGAAATCCTTTAATCAGAGCTTTTATTAGTTTCGATGAAAGAGGACTAGATGATATATGGGAAGAGTTGACATTGAGAGGTCAAGTCCAAGCTACACATGTTCTAGAAAATATTTGGGTTTAATTTTAGGTGTGGACAAGAGGCATCACTAGTAGACAGTTAACGGCAATCGTTGGTTATCTCTTTCTTAGAATTTAGTGGGTGATTTACAACGGGGAATTGTACAGTCAAATTTTCACTCTCAGAATTTCAAGAAGAAGATTCAATTTCAATGTTACGTAGTTGTTGGGTAATGGAAGAGAGAAATTTATCTTGCCCTTTCACAAGGAAGAGAAGGGAAGGGATTCCTTTCAAGTTTGGACTTGGATTGGCCTGCTAAGATGCTATTTTCTATCATGGTGAATGGTAAATCCATAGAGTCAAGAAAGAAAAAAGATTCAATCGTAGGTCTTGAGTAAGCATGGCAGCTTTATGTGGTTTTCATAACTCATGATTTACGTATGAAAGAGTGAAATTATGACTTATAGCTTAGTCAGCGAGGCATTCTTCCGAATATACGTTACGTCCAAGGGAAATAGATGAGAAAAATACAGGTTACATGTGGACTTCTCTGCACATTTTCGGACGGTTTCTTGTACTTGAACTGAATTTGAGATGAAACTACCACATGCTAATCTGCTAGTGAGCGTCAGTCTGTTGAGCTAATATTGCTTTTATAACTGTCATCTGTTTACAGTTTCTGTTTTGAGTTCCTAAAAGTTTCAATATAAAAAGTCATGCATTGCATGATAGAAATGGGTGACCTTTTGGCTCATCGAGCCAAAGAGATCGAGCTTAAATGATGAATATAAAGTTGTGTACAGTTTTAAAGTACTAATAACCAGGCTTGATTGTTGCATCTACCAGATTTTCTCTATATTCTTGTACCTTGAATCTTTTAGAAATCTTTGATCTGTCTTGTTCTTTGTTACTTCTTCATATTGTTATGAACATTTATGGCTGTATATCATGTTGGTGCCACATTAATAAGGTTTCATCTAAACATCATATGCTATTACTTCAGTGTAAGCTGGAAAAAGTGAAGTGAAACAAGTCCAAAATGGTACAATTGATGATGACTTCTTTTCTCAGAGTCTTTTTTCTCGTTCAGCATTCTTGTTCTTGTTGAGATTATTATGACCATAAGGCCCTTGATTGATAAAAAAACCTGTCTATTGAAAATTCATTTCAGAGATTTTGACGATTACACAGATTAATTTGATTGGTCAAATGATGGGAATGACTACAGTTACAAGATATAGTAAAAGATCTACCAAAGAACAACGACATTACAATTAAACATTAAGGCTAAAACTGAAGAATAAAATCTTGACAGCTGCTATGTTGCAGAAACTTTTGGGTCTTATACAAGCTAGTTTAAAAGAATAAACTTTACTAAACCAATTTCAAATCTACTTAGGTCATGACAACTCTCAAAAACTGTGAAAAGTATTTTGAAATTAAGTGAATCTCTTTTCAAAATGCTTTCTTTTTTATGGCAGTTTTTTTTTTCATGAACCAATATCCACCCCACCCCTTATTTCAATGCCCATCCAACTATCAGCCACCAATGCCACTCATGGATGATGGATTAGTACTTTTTCCATTGAGTTATATGGCACTGACTTATTTTCCCCAGCAACTATCAGCCTCACAGCGGGTGTATATTTTGTTATGTCCTGTTCAGGAGACAATTCTTTTCTGCTATTGATAATTTTATCTGGTGTTGGACAATTGTGGAATATTTTATAAATGTTTAAAAGGTGGTTGAACCAACTTCATAAATCCTAACTGTGCCCAAGGAGATGGCAAAGAAATAAGAATAACTATACATGTTAACTGACCAATGGAACAAATGAAAATCTAAAATTGGCTTCAGAAAAATTTTATGATCACAAATGAAGTAGTTCAAAGGGAAGGCTAAAATACCTTTTATTTTTCTAAAGTTTCGTACAACTTCAGAGGTAGGTAAAGATTTCCTGGCATCTACATAAAGATTAAAGAGGACCATTATTGGCAAAGAATAAATCAAAAACTTTGCCTCTAGCTCAGCCTGGCAGGATTGAAAACTAATACAAAGTTAATCTAAGATTCATGCTTCAGACAGCTTTTTCTGCAGGTAACTTCTTGGAGAAGATCTCTCAAGTCAAGGTTGGTAAGGATTATGGAGTTGGAAGTCTGTGATCATTTGGCGAAGTTCAGATGCTTCCTCCTTAAGCTGAGCATTCTCCTGCAGAGCTCGATCGTGAGACTCTGAAACTTGGTTCAACTTATCTATTAGCTGGTGGTTCTCATTTCGGAGCCAAATGACCTGAGACCACAGCTCATCCAAATGCTTTTGCTTGCGCATTCGCGATCGGCGTGCAGACTCTCTATTGGATATCATCCTCCTCTGTTTCCTCTCATTGATGAGGCTTAGTTGTTGGTCTTCTGCTTCGTCAGAAGTCGAGTTACTGCTGAAGGATGGTAGGTTCATATCTTGCACCTGAGAAGGATATTGAAATTTTGATAATGGATTAGAAAACTGATTAAGATGCATCATGTTTGTGTTGTCCTGGGACATGTTAAATTGAGAAGAATATAGGGATGGGGTGGATGAAAAAAGATAGTGGAGACTTGTAATTTCATCAGGCTGCATGGCCAATGTTTTTTGGAAACTTGCAGGCAGGCTCTTGGAAGGAAAAAGGATGCTTCAAGTGGAACTTGGGGAGCTTGTTGATGGAGGGCTTTGTTTTATAGGATTTAAAAAGCTTCAGGTGTCCCCACCACCATCAATTCAGAGGAACAGCAAGTTTCTTAAAAACTTGGACCATGCAGATTATGTCTATGTTCTGCAATGTTCATGTATGCATAGATAAATTCCGAAAGTATTCGTTTACATGGTTATGCCATGGTTCTATGCATGTGTAATATATGCATGTTGTACATAGTCTCTTAATGGATAATCCTTTTATGATCAGATTTTTGCTTACATCAGGTGAAGAAAGTGCAGTTTGTGGGAAATATAATAATTGCGATGGTAGAATGTTTTGCAGGGAGAAAGCACAGGAGAAGATTGGAGTTCAAGAAGTCAATTTTAAAGGAAGAAAAAATGTGTAAGGTGGCTTCTGATTTTTCAGCCAATAGGACATTGTGGGGAAAGATATGAAAGGAGGAATCAGGTTGAGGAAGGTAAGCCTTTCTATATCCACAAGAAAATATTTTTTATCAACTTATTTTAATAGATGACTCAAATGGCACTCTAATAAGAGCCTGATTAAAATATTAAATTACAAAAGTTAGATTTGTTTGCAAGTATGCCTTCTTATTTTAGCATAATTAGGAGGATTCTACAGCCTGGTATGTTATATGTTGGAAATAAAAAAAATAAAAAAAAATCTCTCTCTCTCTTTCTCATGGGGTTGGGGGAGATAAAAGAAGAGTAAGTGCATATGGGAAAGCCATTACAGGAAAGTACAGTAATCAATACTTTATGTTCTTATAAAGGGGCCATTCATTGCCATCTTTTTCACCACTCAAATAGACATAACTTTATTTTATGAATTTTATTGCTTGAACTGGAATATAAATTGAGAAAGCTACTTGCTACTGAAGGGAAAAAAAAAAAAAAAGAAAAGAAAAGAAAAAGAAGCTTAAATAACTGTTGGCTCTGCGTCTCTAGTTATTCCTCATGATATCAGAGAGGCAAATTGTTTCTACCTCTACTTTATTTCCCATTCAAATCTTTCATCTGTTTAGCACAACAGAGACGAGTACTTACATATTAGGTTTCGGCATATGGTAAACTTTTGATTCCTTGTACAGGGAGTTCCATTTGGGTCGGATAAAAAAAAAGGTTCAAATACTATTTTAATCATGGTACTTTTGACTTTAGTTTATTTTGGTCTAACTTTAAAGTGTTCCTTTTGGCCCTTATACTTTCAACTTTTGTTCATTTTAGTTCTTGTACTTTCGGAATGTATGTTCTAGTCTATGTTTTTTTTTTTTAAAGTGACTAATTTGGTTCTATTTACAAAATTTAGCACAAATTTATACACAATGGCAACTCTTTAATACAAATTTATGGCTAAATTTTAAGAAAAATTTAGTAAGTAAACTATCATGCTAAAATTATGATCAAAAGAAATGAGATTAAAAAAATATTGAATAGACTAAAATGATCACTTTTTAAAAGTACGAGGACCAAAATGGATGTTTTAAAAGTACATGACTAAAATGAAAAAAATTTGAAAGTACAAGAGACAAAGTAGACGCTCTAAAAGAACAAGGACCGAACTAGTATTTAAACCTAAAAAGAATAGTTATTGGTTTTCTTTTAACCATATCTTGGGTATGTCTCTTGTGTTGCAACTGCAGGGTATGTTTTGAATTCAGATGCCATGAAGTCTTCTCTTCATAGAGAGAGATTGCAAAAATTTCAATGGTTTAGAGAATGGAAAACACTGGGATGTTTGAAGGAAGCAAAATAGGGCCATTGTGGTCAAAATTTAAGCTTGGTGGTGCATCAAAGTCACATTGTGCTAACCCCATCAGAAGCAAGGAGAAAAATTGGAGCTCTTAACCACTCAACTGAGTGGAGATGTCTTGTTTTAGTGGTAGAATGGATTCCAAGGAGTAGTTTCCTTTTCTTTTCTTTTTTTTTTTCTTTTCTTTTCTTTTTGAAGAGCAAGAAACCAAAACCCTTGCTTGGGAAAATGCCCCCTCCCCACACACTTGAGGAGTGGGCTTTAATAGTCAACAATTTCATCAGACAAATTCAGACCTCCCTTTCTTTTCTTGTCTTCTGTTTGTTCATACCCTCTCTCTCTCTCTCCCTTTTTTTGTTGTTTGGGATAGGAATGTATCCTTTAGCAGAAAAAAAAGGTATATTTGTAGCTGAAGAAACCCAGTAGGCTCTTTTGTTGAATTGTACATACATTGTAGACAGCATTGGCTGAGCTTGTAGCTATTTTCTTGTTCTAGTCCCAATTTTGACTTCCAATTTTTCAGTAATCATTGGATTGAGTTTGAGATAAGTTTTGAGAGAACTGTTTTTAGGTGGAGTACTTTTCTGATAGCGCTTTTTGAAGGCTGTTTTAAGATGCTCTTTAGCGGCGTTGGGGTCGTGAGATTAGCTTAAGATATCGAATCTATGTTTGTTTGTAGGTTTCAACACTAAACTCGCACTCTCTCATAGTTTTCTTTAATCTAGACCTCCTAAACCTGTATTTCAAACACATGTTTCCTAAACTCGGGCGTTCTAAACACTTAAAATACCCGACTTTACATGTTAGATTCATGCCTCAAATACTTGCCAGTGTTTTTAGAATTTTCAATCAAATGCTAAAGAACTGCAAAAGTACTTTTGATAGGTTAGAAGACACTTTTTGCTTTCTCAAAGGTTATATTAAACTTTTTTTTTTTTTTGAGTTAAAAAATCACACATGATGCATGAATAACTAGAAAATAAAAGAGAGCAAAATTCCTTTAAAAAAAGAAAATATATTATTCATAGTTTGTGTTCAAGTTGTATTGTAACTCCATGGTGCCCATAAAAGTATTATTTCTGAAAAGCAAATTTCATCCTTTTTATTTATTTTATTTTATTTTATATAATTATTGTTATTTGCTTTTAAGGTGAGACAATGATGAACTTGATGTTTGCTCACCTAACAGAACATATCTTATCCCATACGCTTGTTGGTTTCCAAAAATACCCTTGGGCAAGAAGTTAAATCCAGAAATAAAGAAGGGGCATTTTGGAAAAGAAGTAGTTGAGACAGTGCCCTAGAATAACGGTCGGAGTCCCCCATGGAAAGGGTACTTGATTTAACCACTGACCCTTTTCGTACCAGACACTCTCCCACAAGGGAGAAGAAAAAAAAAAAAAAAGTACGTTAAATTTACGGAATATAATTTAACTGGTTAAGACATTTTCTAGATAAAAAATTTTTGAGTTTAAATCTTCGCCGACCTATATTGTTGTTACTAAAAAAATTATTGCCTAAAATTTTTAGTTTGGTTTCTTTTGTTTTAATATTTTTCAATTAGTCGTCAAAATGATCATAATTCAGTAGTAATTAACATCGACTCGTTCATTTGAGGTTGTAAGTTCGAACTCTATATACCTCAAATTTGCTGTAGTAAAAAAAATGGTGAAAATTTCAAGGAGAAAAAAGATCATTAAGAGGAGAAAACTTGAGTTTTTTTTTCCTATTTTTTTAAAATTTGAAGTTAGAGGAAAAATTAGAAACTTTTTTTTAATGGATTGACAAATAAAGGTGAAGTATTTTACGGTCTAATCTTATACAAACTTATTGCATATGATGTCTTCATATGACTAACAATTAGGATCAAAATTATTCGTAATTTTTACAAAGTGAATCGTATGAACAGTGCTATCAAGATACGGTACGACATCCAAGTCCTATCTATATAAATATTGCATATTGAGAAACATGAATGGTTATTTTTTATAATAAATAATAAAATATTTGCTCATTAGGATCTTTTGTGACATAAATCCTACGCAATTGTCTCTTTTGGGTTATATTAGAAGTCATGTTTTAAAATGTCTAATGTTATAAATATTTACAAATATAGATTTTGACGTTTTGAAGTTAGACTTTTTTTGTCTCCAAATTACCATCTTATTACATTTATTTTTTTAAAAAAATATAATATTCCATAATAAATTAATGGTCATTTAATGTAAATATATGTTTATTATTTAAATAATTGTATTTTAATAAACAATTTAACAGTAAACAATGCAATTATTCTCATTATTTGGGACGTTAATTAGTGAAATTCTCACAAAAATTCGCCAGATTTGTGTTTCCGCTAAAAGAAATAAAAAAAAAACCAGCTGAAACAAATAATGGAGGAATTTCTATATTTAATTTGGTATCCAAACCTATAATGAAAAATTCAAATGAAAACTTCCTTTATTGGTTAAATATTTCATATATAATAATTCATTAATAAAGGAAAATATATACTTTAATGGCCATTCATTTATTAGGAAATAATAAATTAAAAAACATATTAAATTTAATAAGGAAATTTAATTTTTTTTTAAAAGAATAGGGAAATTTAATTAAGGCTATTTTGGGAAAAAAATCATATTTTAATGTTGAAATCTCCCTGTGTAAATATTAATAAATATTAATAAAGATAGATATTTATGAAATTTGGGATCTCAAAATAGGTTATTTATGTACTTTTAACTCTAAATCTTAACAATCTCCCACTTGCATTAAAACTTGTATGTTTTGTAGGACATTCTATGCCATGTTATCTCACTTGCTCTAGAAAAAGATAAAACATGTCCGGTAATTTTAGACATTTACTTACTATTTAACAATTACGAGATTTTAGGACATAAATCTCAATATAAATAATATGCTATATAAGTATATCGTCCACTAATTTTAATATTTACTGACGGTAAGGATTATATTTTAAAATGTTATAACATAAGAGACTAAATTGAAACTTTTAAATAAAATGGACTAAACTAAACAAGATACGACTATATATATATACCTTACCATTTAATTACAATTTTAAGATGGATATTTTTCCCTAGAGGTTTTTTCTTCTTCTTCTTTTTTTTTTAAATTTTTTAATTAAGGAATTATGTGTTTTACAAGATAATGATTTTATATTTTAAAAAACACGTATAGCTTCCTTACCATTTCTTTGGTATAAGTTTCACATTTTTTGTAAAACAATTTCTTTTTTCTTTTTTAAAGTTTTTAGAAACTAGTTCATAGCTTTAAAAAATGGCTTAGATTTTGAAAATGGACAGACAAAACAAAGCAAGACATGTGAAAATAAAGTTTTCAAACTTGAAAATAAAG